GTACGCGGGGACTCCACTCCAACGAGAGCGGAGTAAGAACATGAACCCTGGTGAACTCGAACTGTTTTGAGCACATCTTCGTACATGCATATAATCGAGCATCTAATAATCCAGGACGTTTTGTGGATGGTGTTTTACGAAATAGACGTAGAGAAGAGTTCAGTATACAGTTCTCTCCCATTCAAAGGAGACACAATCGCGGATTCGGTAAGCTGTAAACTAAGTACTGCGTTGGAGGTATCCTCCAAAATTACGTGTCGTGTTGACGTCCAGACCGATCCTGTGTTCGTGACTGAAAGACAAGATTCCTGTTTCTGTAGTCTCATTTTGTGTGTACCTCTTTACGAGTTCCTGTGAAGCAACGTATATCAGCCGCACGAGCAGGCGCCTATCTATCAGAGTTTGGGAGCATCATCGGTCCTGACTGAGCACTGGTGTAGTTAAAAATCGTATTCTAGCCACTCTGGAGGCGGTTGGAATTCGTCTGCATAACCCCCCTCTGTGTCCACACTGAGGTTCGTACGTGTGGATAGGATTCCAAGGTGTTTTCATAGATGAATGACGAGAAGAGAAATTCTGCTGGTCATTGAAGAGGAAATCTGCTCCAATCAACGGTCAATTGCCGATTCTTCATTGAACTGGTTTTCAAAATATCGAAATGCATACAGAAAATTACGTCTCGATACAATCCACGGGGATCTGCTGATTTAACAAACAGAAGAATCTGTATAATTAGAGCTCACATCGTCCACCGGTCTTCTTTTTTATTCGTTAGAACCGAAAGAAGNAGATGTGTGAAACTGACACAGGGAACAACAACAACAACATTCTCCATTTGAATAATCGTTTATTTTATTTCCTCTATTCTATACAAAATGACTTTATATAAATTGTGATGTATTAGCCAGTTGATGAGCTACCCAAAATAAACTTGCTCGCTAAACTTCGTTTGAATCTAATTAAGTGTACATGCTGTCTAGGCGTGAGTTCGAATCCTATCGAGGATACTGATATTTTCTCAATTTAAGCATAAGACTTCAATCTGCCAGGCATCATTTGAACAAGACAGCTCTGTTGGTAGTGGAGAAACTGTGCTTTGCCATCTAACGATGTCTTTGGATTTATACGGCATTCGTTAGCAAAATTCATCTTCGTTTTCCTACTTCGTTGAAACCGCATGACATAAAACGCGTGTCTAATATGCNGTTTCACCACTGTAGTTATCAAATCTTGCTTCTATAAATACCAGATTGTTTTACGTTGTAGCGACTGAAGAGATTAAAAGAAATGTTAACATCTCGCAGTATTTGTCTTCTTTCGGTTCTAACGAATTGGATAAAGGGGACCCAATGTTTCAAGCTTCTTTGTTTGATTGGCTCAAGAATGTCGTTGTGAATGTTTTTCAGAACTCCAGGAATTGTGAACAAGCTCGTTTTCGGTAATTTGCTCCTCATTCTAATCCATTTGTATGTGGTGTAATTGTCCGTTCGACGTTTGTTTTCACTTCACTCGTTTCTACGCACAACCAATTTCCTCTTTAATCCATGATGCGATCAAATTTCATAACCTTTTATTGTGTGCGACTTGTAATTTTTGAACCTGACACTACACCGTTCTATCGTCAGTTTGGAATGTGTGGGCTTTTCCTGTTGTTAGTTGGGTTCTAGTCGTGTGACAACATTCCTACTGCGTACATTAGTAGCAAACTGGTGGTTTTAAGTGGTCTAGGTCTTAAGTAAAATATCGATTCTCTTGCACTAGTTCGTGTCATGTTTCTTGTTTCAGCTGACCTATCCCATCGAACATTCGTATGTATTTGACGGACAGTTGAAAAACGCTGAAAGAGCTCAGTATCACCAGTTGCTGAAGTAGACTTAAGTAGTGCTTGAAACGCAGCCAAATCCTGCTATGTCGCACCCGTCGAGAATCAAAAAAATGAGTAAATTTCAGAAATTGCGACATAGCATGTTAATCAGTAGTGCACGCTTTTGAAAGTATGAAAAATCATTTAGAACACTAGTGACAAACTAAACAGGATCGATGTAAACCAAATTTCCGCCGTTGCTTGTGCAGCGAGAAGCAAGAAGTCTGGAAAAACATTTATTGATCCAATTCAAAAACAACTGGTGTACGCGTTCAATTATATAAATGCAATTCTTAACCACGCGGCAGGATGATTCATGCCTCTCTCTCTGTTGGTCAATTCTTGCTGGTTTTGTTCCGCACTTGGCACGTACGCTGCCTATTCTTCCGCGTGCCGTTCCGGCTGGTTTAACCCGATCGTAGCGAGAGATACGTCGATCGACAGCTCCGACGTAGTGGCATTCGGTATGTGCCTTTCTGGCTAGCTGCGGATTGTCCGTGGGGCTGTAATTGTCTATTCGCTAGTTTCATGTGGTAGTCAACATTGTCTCCCGAAGTACTTCCAGCCGCTACGTCTGCGCGTCTGGTTGGATGGGCCCCATTCTTTATTCGTTCGCTAGCCCGGACCCTCCTTGTACCACTTTCCATCGCACCTGTTCTCATTCTTTATTATTAGGTGCTAGTTATTTAAAGAAGAATCCAAAGAAACAGCATCGTGTGGTTTTTGTGCATGTAGAACATTCAATCTTTTATGAAGCTCTTAGCTTGAAATTAGAACGGTACACTCGGAATGTGATCCTTTTTCAGTTTCAATGTATATTTGTCCTGAAACTAATTACCCTTTCCTTTTGGAAAGTTTTCTAACTCAATTACCGAATTCCAATTCTAACTTTTGTCCCATTCAGTTGAGAATTCCCCATGATCTAAAGGGGTATTGGACATAATGACGTAGAAAAATTAGGCACAGTTGATGATTCAGAATAGATCGTAAGAATTCAACATAATTCAACATAAACGGCGTTATCGAAAACAAATGTACATCTGTTACGGTATTGTGGTAATCGGAATGGTATTGAATTTAGGAATACGAGAATCCGTACTGTACTGCTCAGAACTGAATTGGCTCCAACCTGAACTGCGGACAGCAATGAAATACACGAGGAATCGATAGCAGCAAACGCTTATGTTTATTAATGGAATTAGATCATGTTTTATAGAATGTAATAGTCCATATCATTGGTTGAACGAGCATCCTGTAATCACGTAACCGTTTGCACCGACGCATCATAGGTGCTAACTCGGATGTCATGTTCGCCCGGTGTACCATTGGTCGAGCTTCCTGAACGATGATTGGATGGCATGAAACTGTACCTAGTCGTGCATGGATTACGGTCACGGAAGTCTGGATCACCACAGGTATGCTTATCCATATGCCAAGCTCCCATTGTTCGCTATGCATTCTTTCCATGCTATTTGATGAAAAATCTGTATTAGTGTGTACTAGTCTGTAAACTTCCATTCGTTCGTTTGTCCGTTTTCACTGTTGCTGATGTCTAATGAAACCGTGCGAATCATTCGTTATGACCAGCGTGCATTGCTCAAACACAGTTAGGGATACGTTCGATTCAGGATACGACGACCTCAGACCAGTGACCTATCCAGTTTCATCAATGCTCTAGGAAGGACTACTGCGATTATCGTTCAACCATTTCACAGGCAAGTCAGTGAGACAGTGGTTATCGATCGATTGGAGTCCTCACAACCTACTCAACACTTCGCTTACCAACCAGATCAATCGTGATTATCGTTCAACTGTTTGCACAGCTACACTGGCGTGACAGGCCATAGATAAACTCACTTTCGCTCCCATCAGCTCGACTAATCTTACGACCGCAAACATCATTGTAGCTTTGGTGATCAAAGTAACAAAAGTGATCAGAAATGCCGGATAAAATCAATCCAGTGTCCCGCACAGCATTGCAGAATAAACCAGTGTAGAACGCAAAGATTTATGTGTAGCAAAATCAAAGTATATTGGTTGTCTTATAGTAGCTTTTCACTGCAAATCAATCAATGCACTCTTTGAATCAAGTGAACGATCCCGTAATTCATTCGCAATCGGAGCATTAGCCAAGACAAACGACTTGAATTGACCGGGCAATTTGTTCGCTTATCTGATTGAGATAATTTTCAATGCATTCTCTGGTTCGCATTCATGTTCTTCGTTTCGACGCTCAGAGTAGTTCGAGGCGCTCTTACCTAAACAACAAGACTGAGATTTATTTACATTTTTAAATAACTCACTTCTTCATCGTCATGTTCTATGGTTAGAAACACTGATATAGCTGGGTGTCGCAACCATTCGTGTATTTTCTCAATTTTCTCTTCAATCCTACTTTCAACCTTCCTGTTTTTATCCTACTGTTCACCTAACCAACCAGAAGTGTCGCAAAGAAATGCATGGTTAATGGTTGTGTAAACTGAACTGAACTGATAAATGACGTTCAGTCCTTCCGATGTACCGCTGACCGCAGGTACATTAAAGTGAATAGATGCAGTTTGAGGTAAGACTAAGATGCTCAACAGTGTCACTTGGCATACCAAATGACTATACTGCACAGCGCCGAGTTTCACTTGGATCATTCAGCATTTTCAACACATTCTACTTCTCTCTGATAGACAGGTGCTTGGACTGCTGACAGCTGTGCCTTCCTTAAAAGGGTTTTCGTCATGTTTTTGAGGTTTTTATGTAGTTATACAGTTATTCTATTCCCAGTAGGTAGGTAACTGTAAACTTAGTTGGTCGGTAGACCGGTGAGCAGGTGGCGCGTCAACACACAAATGGGCAGGCAGACCAAACTGGCGCAAGCGTTGCCGAAAGGCATTCAACGGACCAATCCATGCGGACCGGTCAATACTAACTACTAACCACTGATTTGCTGAGTGAGGTGGGTCGACCTTGAATGAAGTAAGTCCGCATGACGTATGTACGTGCGTGTGATGGTGGGCCGCAAACGTCAATCATGTGATGTACGGTAAACATTTTACTCGACTGCAGGGAGGATACTCACATGACTTCTTTTTGAATATTTGGCTATTGACAAATAGTTGTAAATCGCAGACACTCACGTTGCAGGATGTTGCAAGAGCCAACTAATACAGATCGTATTAGCGGAAGTGATTATTATGATCGAATGAAAATAGAAGGTGAGTTCTTTACGACTACACAGAAGCACATGCTTGACAGTGAAGTCAAGCGACGAATTGAGAAAATTCAAAGAGAGAAAGAGCAGGCATTGAATTCGCGCCGAGAACGACTGTTTTCACTGCTCCGTCAAGAAGAGCGAACCAATCAAGAGCTCGGTCGTTGNCGTTGTGAGTTGGAGCGTGGGCGGCTGAGGCGTCGCGAACAGTTGATAGAAGAGGCTGCTCGACTGAAAGAAAGGCTTTGGAGAAAAGAAAGTGAGATCTCCAATGCCAAAAATCAGCTGCGATTTATAAAGTCTAGTGTTGCGTTGAGAGAACGCCGCATGGATCAGCATTTGAAGGCGATTGGAGAAGATCGAAAAGAAATTGCAAAAATAAAGAATTGGGACAAGTTACGGCAAAGTGAAGAGGATAATATTTTAGAACGCCAAAAATCCTTCTTTGACGAACAATTGGAAAGGGAAGAAGCTGAAATTCAGAAAACAAGAAAACATGCAAATGAAGAAACGGCAAAGTGTTATTCGGACTTTTTAAAACAACAAAAGTACGATAGGAAAGAGAAAAAAGAGAAATGTTCTACAGAAGAAAAACCATATGAACCACCAAAAAATGAATCTGTGATCGACAATAAAGGCGATGAAGTGCAAAGAACTTTGAAGAACGAAATGTTGCAAGATCAATGGAAAGATCTGGAAGCAGTCAGAAAAAATAGGCAAGCAGAGGAAAAAATGAGAAAATACGTTGAGATGTTTTGCCATAAAATGGCCGTCGAGAGTACTGGAGACGAATGTCCAAAGAAGGAGGATCTTAGGAACGAACAAGTACTCTTTATGCAGTATCAGAAACAGATGGCAGAAAATGAATTGAAATACGACAGATGTCTCGATCAACTGTATTCCGATATAGACGCCAAGAAACGCATGATCGAAAGAGCACAGAAAGCAAAGGAACGGGAAAAATACGAAAAGACCACGAAGGAAATCGCGGACTTTCATAGAACAGTGGAGCTTCGGAAAAGGGAAGAAAAAGCTACGGAAAAACAGCAACGAGTGGAAATCGCCCAACGAATCAAAGAAAAACTGAAACGAGAAGAAGAATTATTGGCTAAAGAACAAAGGGAACTTCGTGAAAAAATGATGCAATATGCGGCTGAACTTGCTGGACAAAAAAAATATGATCACCTCGTTCATGATCAATCAAAATATTTGGAATTAGAGAGGGAACGACAGGCTATGGCGCAATCGGAATTGGAATATCAAAAGCGAATGAGAGATGCCATGCTGCATGAACCACTCACTCAAAANAAATATTCACCCTTGGCGTTGCAGCTCCACCAAAGATTAGTGCGCTTGCGTGGTTAAAATTAAAATTCTGATATTCAGAAACCGATCATTTCAACAGATAGATATATATATATATTTATGTCATCTAGATGGTGTGTCTTGACGGTTAGAAAGTGTCGAAAATAATTTTTCTGGCATTGTTGATTCTACACAGTACTAAGGAGCCATCAGATCAGTTTCCGTTTATAGAGTAGAGGGAAAATCGAAGGTATGAGAGCAATGTCAGAGTGAAATCAGAGAATTCAGGTAGCCGAATGTTGCAAAAATATTGAGCTCATGCACCATCACCATTGTTTACGACACTCAGTCACATCAGTGGGTTTCCATTACGGTGGTCCTGAGGTCTCTATTCGCAAATAGGTAATTTGGCTATGACTCCATTTGCACGTACGTCCTACTGCCTTATGTGTCCTAATTTTGAGCTTACTAGAGCCTTTGAAGAATTGAGTTCCATTTATCAATTTCATCAAAACAGAAAGAAGACAAATGTCGTGAGATGTCAANTAATGGCGTTCGTGCATCTATTCATGTTCCCATCAGATGCGCTTCATTTGCTTTCATAACTTTAAACCGATCAACATTCTCTTTCTTGAGTAATCGAATAACTGAGTAACCGAAAAAACTGCAACCACAAAATCTAATGATGCGTTCTGCTTCACTGAAAGAATCTTGTGACGCTGGAAATGCCAGTTTCAATGAAAGAACGGCGAATTCTGGTATCGAAATGGGGAAGTTAAACGGTCCAAATAGCACCACGGTGCTTCTTAGTTTTCCCGTTCACAATTCCTGAACACAATACCGAACAACATTCATTGTATAATCAAATTGTTCATTACTCTCATATCATGTATATCATTTTTCATATTGATGAAAATGATGGGCTCTTTTTATTTACGCTTCGTTTGTGCTTCCCCCCGTTCCCTCAGTCCAGAAAGCAACCACTGGCAGATGTATTATTTTTCCTCAATTATCGTCATGGGGTCTGATGGCTCTAGTAAGCACACGGATTAATCAATTATGGTGAACAAACGTGTACAAGCATACAAAGCATACTAAATTTAGAAGCAAAAGGTCAACTCCACGGTAAGTGGATTGCTTGTATCAAAAACTTCTGTGCACATAAGGTCGGATGATGCAATGGAATAAGTAGTGCTTCACTAATCGACAAAAGTTTAGCATTTCAATTACGTATTAGTGGTTTGAAAGACTGTGTGTCTTGTCGTCATAAGATGTTTTGCAACAGATGATCCTGGATTTCCTGGATTTCAGACCAATTTTGTGCATGCGAAACTCACACAAGCTCGCCCGAAGGCTAGTAGACATTCTTGATCCCATTCGTAAGTCTCTCATGCCTCACTGTGTGAAAGATTCTTTTGATTTCTCTAATATTTTGGATAATATTACAACATCCCAAGAGAGAATGTATTCGATAGATGTGGATTCACTTTCTACTAATGAAACTTATGAAACAGTTCATTTTTCATGCGATTATATTTCTTTAAAAAATTTGCACCTTAATATTCTTCTTGAATACTTAAGATAACTTACTTTTATATGTACAGAAAACATTCGTTTTGAGTTTGAAGGGACCACATACAAACAGATCGATGTCGTGGCAATGGTCAGTCCACTAGGGTCCATTTTGGTAGATGTTGTAGGCATGATTGAGAAAAGCTAAGTGATAATATTTCTAAGTTCACCCTGTACAAATGTTACCTGGACGATATTTTCATTCCTACACATTCTGAACATTTTACTACACCTTTACAACAGTTTAATATAGTTCATTCACATCTATCCGTATCTCGTGAAACAGAAACCAATAACACTTAAGCTTTTCTTGACGTAAAAGTTACAAGGCGGATAAATGGGACACTACAACGCTCAGTCTAGCGAAAAGCGACATGGAACGGTCAATACCTGCACCTTTCCAGCTTTTTTCCCATGACTAAAACTAGAGCAATCGCCAAATCCGGCATCCGAAATTCACCTATTCGGAGCCACACAAAGGAAATGGCTATCGGCGAGGGATTTAGCCTGGCGAGATTATAATCATCTTCCGAATGCTGTCACATGGAATAATTACCGTATGCTGCACCAAGTTGATTCGTGAGGATAAAGTGAGATACCAAGAGGTGCTAGCACAAAAATTCATTTCTAACCCTAAGCTGTTTTACCAACACGTCAACTCTATTCGAAAAGTAAAGTTTGGTATACCGGTAATAAATGGCGCTGGAAGAGTTGCAGCCACTTTAATGGAAGCAGCCGAAATGCTGAAATTTCATTATTCCAACTTATTCGCAGCACCGCAGGTTGAAGGTTTACAACTACCCCAACGGTTGCATCATCTTCCACATCCTTCACTCACTTACGCATCATTTACTGCTGAAAACGTCAAAGCAAAAGTAATGGCTTTGCGAAAAAACGCAACTCCAGGTGCGGAAAACATACACCCGAAATCTCTGATCTTTTTGGCAAATCACATATCCGAACCGCTAGCTATTCTGTTTCAACGAATGTTCGATCAAGCAACACTCCCCGAATCATGGAAACAAGGAGTCATTTCTCCCATATACAAAGGTGGTTGTCGTAGTGACCCAGCCAACTATAGACCTGTGACCTTGCTTCCGGTGTTATCGAAGGTCATGGAGTCAATTGTGGCCGATTCTCTGATGGAACACCTCGAAAGATATAACATTCTCTCGACAGCTCAACACGGGTTTAGGCAAAAGCGATCCTGCCCCACGAACTTGCTTCTCGTTCGAGATAAATGGACCAGTACGGTTGACGAAGGGGATGCGGTGGATGTTATTTATCTCGACTTCGCGAAAGCATTTGATCGAATGAATCACAAAATTTTACTGCAGAAGCTCTATAATTATGGCGTTCGAGATTTCGCATTTGAGTGGA